AAGGCAACAGCTGTTGGTGTGGACCTCTCTGCTCTGCAGGCAGGCACAGTAGAGAGAGGAGTCCATGTCTTGTTTCCAGTTGGCGACCCCTGGGGCAGCACTCGGTGGTGGCCTGGGGGGACGTGGCAGAGCCCAGGTCTTGGGCCACCTGGTGCATGTAGCAGGTTGTATTTGCAGCAGATGGTGCAGTAGGAGACCTGAGCTCAACATGCGGCCAGCCCCCTGAGGAGACGGGGTGTGGTGGGTGGGTGCCTGCTCCATATGCTGGGGATGACAGGCTTGTGCCGGTGTTCAGCATGCTGGACAGGGTTTCTGTCTAGTCCAGGGTGGGCTCCATCAAACTGGGAACAGGAAGTGGCATGGTCTGCTTTGTCAGTGAGCTGCCCTTGGGTTTGCTCATGTTTGTCACTGTGAGTTGTGGTCCTGGGTCACTGTGCTGTCCTCTGTGCCTGCACTGGGCCCCGGGCTAAGTGCACAGTCCGTGAAGGAAAGGCGCACTCGTACTGTGAGCAGTGCAGCTAGTCCCCTAGTCCCCTTGTGCCCTGTTGCCTTGGCCTTCTTCCCGCTCCCTCCACACCCACTTCCAGGGACACCTGCTTCCCCACAGCACTGCCAGGCTTTCCTGGGTGCCTCCCTGATGCCTGGCTACCAGCTGTCAGCATTGACTCCTGTGCCTGGAGTCCAGGCACCCTGCTCCAGGGCAGGTGTGCCTTCCTTGCTCCTGGCTTGGCACGCAGGGCTGTGCCCACTCCTTGGTGGTGGCGTGAGCCACCTAGGGGCTGCCTTAGAACCACGCTTGCAAGCAAGGTCGGGAGGCTGGGGCCTGGATCTAGTACAGCTTGAGAGACCTGCAACCCAGGTTGGGGTGACTGCTCTGGACAGAGGCTCAGCTCCTTAGGTGGCAGATAGTGAAGAAGTTGGCCTATCCCTGTAGGAGACTTGGACATAGGTGAGTTGGAAACTTTGCTGCTCACTTGCAGCCTTGGATAAAGTTAGGTTTCCAGCCTTTGTTTCCTCAGGAAGTTGTAATGATTGGTGCTAGGAAGGCTGTTAAGAACGGGACATGGCCCTGTGCTTGAGGCGTCCTGGGCACTCATGTCCATGGTGGCTAAAAAGGCATAGGCTTAGTTAGTGGTGAGCACCCTTTCCCCTGCCCCCAAGCTCCCTTGTCTTCTTGGTCTTAGCATCCTGATTTTCCTGAGCGCTGCTCCTCCCTCCAGTCTGTGGCCATTGGATGGTTAGTAACACAGTCTGACCAATCATGGGGCTGGCTCTTCCTGGCCAGTGATTGGTTCATGGATAGTCCTGTGACCCAATCAGAATTCATAAAAGCTGTAACCCTTGGCTGGTGAAGTTGAGGGAGACCTGAGTGAAGGAGGATGTGAGCGGCCTGCTGCTGGGTCTGCTGTGTGGAGGCAGCCTGCTCAGGAATGAGGTAGCCCTGTGGCCCAGCTGGTCGGAGGTGAGCTCTGCCTTGAATGTGCAGCTGAACGAACCTCTGGTTTCCATCTTTGTTTATGCCCATTTGAACTGGCTCTTCTGTCTCTTGCACCCAAGGAGAGTCTAGACAGCATCATCTGAGCACATTGTGCCTCCAGCTGTAGTTCAGGCAGCCTCTCTGCCTCTCCTGCTGCTCCAGCCGTGCTCAGTGAGGGGTCAGTTAGCTGTGGACCTGCTCAGACACCACCTCGATTGCTTGCTGGGCTCTCTGCAGCTCTCTCCTCCCTGCCTCTCTGGGCTGAGAGACCAGAGCACCTCTTCCAGCAAACCCGGGGCCTGCTGTCCCAGGAGAGCACTCGGTAGCATTGTCTTGTGACTGTTGCTGGCCTCCTGGTGTAGATTTGCCCCCAGCACCTCTTTAACCTGTGTCAGTGCCTGTCGTTCCCTCCCTCAGTTCCCAGCCCAGGTTGGCTGCGTGAGACCATTGTTCTTTTGGGGCCAGTAGCCAGTTATGCATGGCAGTGTCTACAGAACGAGCATGGGAGTGCTCGTTTTAAAAGAGAGGACTGAGATGGACTTGATCAGAATTCAGGCTTAATAGGGCTGGGCAGGGCAGCCATTTGGCTCATGTGTTGGTGTGGCTGGTTCCCTGGAGGGTGCTCCCACTCCCGTGATGACTCTGAGACTTCAGCCCTGCAGATCTCTCCCATGGTGTGTGGGGTCTCTCAGAGCCGTGGTGGCATGGTGTGCATGTAGGCACTGAGCCTGGTGGGGTGATGGGAGGCTGCTGGCAGGACTCAGCATTGTGGTGACCCTGTCAGGCCCGTGTGAGTGAGCATGTGCCTCTTCCTTGCAGGGCAGGCACCCCCTTAGAGGGCTCCCTGGCATCAGCATCGAACGATCTTAGAGCAAATCGCTTGATGTTGCCAAGCCTAAGTCTGTTTCTCTGTGACATGAGGCTGGTGGTGACCTTACCTAGCGGTGCTGTCCTGCGGGTATGAGGTATATTGAGAGCCTGTTCTGGTTAATCACTGAGCTCATGAGGGAGCTGCTACTGTGTCCCTGTGTACCTGTTACTGATGAGGAAAGGAATTGGGAGGCTCTCTTCCCAGGGTCACATGGTTGGAAGCGGATGAGACAGGTTTCCCCATCAGTGGTGAATAGACCTGTAGAATGGAAGTTCTGTTCTCAAGTCCGGAAGGCCTAGTTTTGAAAATGTATTGGCCAGCCCCGCTTAAAAACCAAGCGTCTGACCTCCTTGCTGTATAAGGGTTATGATTGCCTAGGGACTTTTATCCTGGGTCCATAACTGAAATCTTTGTAAAACATGAATCCTTTTTTTTCCTTCTGGTGGTACTGGGGATTGAACCCAAGACCATCTCATTGAACTGCATCCTCAGCCCTTTTTTATTTTTTTGAGACAGGATCTTGTTGAGTTGTTAAAAGTATCCAGGCTGGGTTTGACCTTGTGATCTTCCTGCCTCATCCTTCCAGAGTGCTAGGATCACAGGTGTGTGCCACTGCACCTGGCTCATCATCAGTGCTGTGTGTGCTCCCTTGTGCTAGGAGTTGTGCCAGTTTGTAGATGATGACTCTGAGGGTTACTGACACTGAGTCAGTAGCTCAGCACTGTGCGGCTAGGAGTTGTGAGCCCAGCTGTCTGTCCTTAGAGCTTTTGCTGTCATCATGCACCAACTCTCCTGTCCACTGCAGGGAGAAGGAGGGAGCCCAGAGGTAGTGTCCCCACGTTGGATGATGCACTGCTGGCACCTGGGGTTACCTGTGCCTCGTGCAGAGCTTGAGGTGTACTGTTTTTTCCACGTGGGAAATGGGGAAGGAACTTGTGCCTGGTGTGCCCAGCTGAATGTGGCTTCTCTGGTGTCTGTCGTGAGAGCCCTGAGCTGTGTGGGCTGCAGGTGGGGAGATGTTCTCTTGTCGAGGAGACAGTCTTTATTCAGTCCTTAGTTTGAGGGTGGAGTTTAATGTCAACTGGAGAGCCTCAGTGCTCTCCACCCTGGCAAAGAAAGCCAGATGGAGGGAAGGACAAGTAATTAATTAGTACACAGGCGTTTTGGAGCTAGATTGGGGTTCACGTCACTGCAGCTCAGCCTCAGATTGTGTGTCCTTCAACATATCACATTAAATGTTTGCACATCCCTGTTGTCCTCTATAAAGGGAAGGCAGTCCCTACCCCATGAATATAAACTGCCCCAGAAACACTCAGGGGCCCCTCTCTGCTTTTCAGGAGAGTGGGCGTTATTCCCAGGGTGAAATTTTAGACACTGAACTTGGGTTCGCACACACTGTTCTTTCTCAGAGCTACTCTTCCCTTTAGTGGCAGCAATGAGCAGTTACCTGACAACATTGCATAATCTTACACAAGTCTAAAAGCTCTCTCGAGGGAAACCAGGAAGAGAATAGTTGTGGAACAAAATCAAAGACTTCAGGAAGGAAAGGCACATTTCTTTGGAAAAGGGTCTTAGGTTGGTTTTCCTAGACTTTTCCAAATCCCTCACTGCATTGGCACGTGGGAGGATCAAAATATAAATGTGTGTGTGTGTAAAATTGTGTTTAGGAAGCCGCATCCTTCCAGTATGAAGAATATACTCAGAATTCAACAATCGCAAGATCTCAGAGACCACAGACATGCTTAGAAAATATACCTTGCACGCCACCACGTGGCAGTTAAGCTGGACTGGCTGCTGGATGCCCCTTGCTGTTTTATGTCTCCACCCCACACCACCATTCTGGCTGGAGCTCAGGCACTGTCACCCTTTCGGAAATTATTTATGTAGCAAGAGACATAGACATGTTCCATCCTTTGACCTAGTGTTTTTACTCCTGGAAATTTATTTACAGATGTGGGCTGATTTTACATACTAGTGTTAATGGACATACATAGTCACATAATCGTTGTTCACATTATTAGTTAAGCTATGTGGGAAAAGCCGAGGACCCTGGTGTGTCCGCAGCAGTGCATGGCAGAGCCATGGGGACAGACTCAGAAGGCTCTGTGGAATGGGAGACAGGCTTGCCATAGGAAGAGACACACCCGGGCAGGGGTACCTGGTGGGACGGGAATGAGAACTTTGGGTAGAAGATGAAGCATTTGTGTTGCGTGGGGCCTTGGGAATGGGTTGTTGCCCGGGAACCCCCTCCCCCAGCCACTCCATTGTTTTTTCAGTTAAATCAGAAAAAAAAATAAAAGTCCAGACTGACCACTGGGCCTGAGGAACACCCCAGAACTGTGAGAGCAGTCCACTTCTCCGGCAGGACCTGGGCAGTGGTCAGGTCAGGCAGGGTTCCTGTCCTGTCCTTGTTGCGTCTGTTTTTTTTTTTAATTGTTCCAGGAATCGAACTCAGGACCTTGTGCTTGCCAGGCAGGCGGTTATGCCACTGAACTATATCCCCAGCTGGTGCATCTGTCCGTCATCTGTCCTAGCCACACCCAGGGCCTCCCCTCCTCAGCCGCACTCCCCCTACCTACCTGCAATCCCAGAAACACCCCCCACACGTATGTTTACCATGAGCCCGGCCCATCTCCTGCTGGGAACACTCACCTCTGGCCTGGTCCAGACTCAGAACCGGCTCACACTGCTCAGTCATTTCCCATCCTTCCTGCTCTTCCATCACCCGTACAGTAGACGCCTTGCTCCTCATTGTTGCAGTCTGCGATGCAACAGAAGGTGAACAGGTACATCTTTCCTCACCACCGTGACTCCTGGCCTGGGGTCTCAAGTCCAGGCCCCTCCCACACCAGTGACAGCCACACTTCAGACCTCTCCTGGCCACCCATGGTCAACTCCATCCCCAACATCACAGCACCTGCATGCAACCTCCTTCATGGCACAACACACAAGGGATGTGTGCTGTGTGCTGGGGCAGCTGGGAGTCAGACTCGGGGGAAAGCACACTCAATAACCTCATTTCATATAATTTGTGAGAAAATTAGGTACAGAATATTAGGGAACATTAAATGTTGAACTTACATGAAACTACAAGAAAATATTTTTGTAAAAGAAGCGTACTTATATTTATGAAAATCACATATATGTTATGGGACTTGCTTTTGTGTCTGTTTTGCTTGATTTTGATAATTGATGTGGAGAAATTTTGATGTGAGGTGATAAAAGTTAAGCTTTTTTTTAAGTAAAATGTTTAAAAATTTGAGTTGGTATATGTAAATTATCCAGATTCTCCCCTGTATCATTTACATGTAGTGTTGAAGTACAATAATGCAAATGAGTTTTAATTACATTCAGACTTTATTTCAAGCACTTCAGAATAATTAGTTCTGATTTACATAATCTGAATACTTAGGTATGGGAAGTGATGCATGGTAAACATTTCACAGTCCATTCTCCAGAAAAAGTAATCAGAAGGAAGGGAGTACGTGTATATGCACGTCCATAGTCATCCATAGTGGTCCAGCCCCATGACCTTAACACCCAGCCTCCCCATCCATTGCTGTGGTGGATGTGGCCTCACACATCCTCCTGTGTCCTCCTACAGCATTTTTAGGGGCCATAACAGTGGATGTGCCTTGGACACAAGGACATAGTTGTGATACTCTACAGGGTTGTACATGTTCAGCACGTTTTTCCCCAGTATTTTTGACCTAAGTTTGGTTGAATGCATGGATTTGGAACCTGAAGAAAGAGAGATCCAAGTGTATTCATGTAATTTTATAGATTTTACTGATAACCAAAGACAGGTAGCATGGAATTTACCAATAATACTGTAATGTACCATGCTCTTTATTGTCAATGCTATGTAGCCAGTTCCTTCTAACCAGTTGCTTTTATTTTCGGTAAGTGCAGTTCTGAGGTGATGACTATAGATCAATACTTTTGTTTATGTTAATGTGTCAACCAAGGGCTGGGGATTTAGCTCAGCGGCAAAGCGCCTGCCTGGCAAGTGCAAGGTCGTGAGTTCGGTTCCCGGTACCGGAGAAAAACCAAAAAAAAAAAAAAAAAAAGTGTCAACCAGTGGATCCACTGAGTACAATAGTAGTTTTCATATTACTGCAAACATTTCTCATCTGTCTTTCTCTTTCCTTCCTTCCTTCCTTCCTCCCCCCCCCCTCTCTCTCTCTCTCGTTTCTCTCGTTTCTCTCATTTCTCTTGTTTCTCTCTTTCTTTCAAGACAAAGTCTTGCTATGTAGTTAGGCTGGCCTTGAACTCTGTATGTATCCCAGACTGGCCTCAAACTTAAGGTAATTCTCTTGTCTCAGCCTTCTGAGTGCTGGGATTACAGATGTGCATCGTCCCCCCTCCGCATCGTCCCCCCTCCCCACCATGCCTTCTGCTATTCTTAACATTAAGTGCTTCAGGCTGACCTAATCTGCATTACTATTTTCTCTATCACTTTCCTTAGTTTTGAACTTCAGAAGTTGGTAAATTTTTTCTGTGAAAGGTTTGATAGTAAATATTTTCAGTTTCACAGCCATAGTGTCCCTCCTGCAACTCTACCATGGACAGTGTGGACAGAATGAGCATGAATGTGTTCCACTGAAACTTGCCGTGGGCAGTGCTCTGTCTTTTTTTTTTTTTTTTCTTTTTTGGGTACCAGGATTCGAACTCATGACCTCAGTCTTGCCAGGCAAGCACTTATGCCACTGAGCTATATCCCCAGCGCTGTGGTCAGTGCTCTGTTAGTGTGAATTTCACCTCAGTAAACAGTGTAGGAGCTGAGTGTGGTGGTGCACACGTGTAATCTCAGCACTGGGGAGGTTGAGGCAGGAGAATTGTTGGGAGTTTGAGACCAGCCTGGGCTACAAAGTGAACTCAAGGCTGGCCTGAACTGCATAGTGAGACCCTGTCTCAAAAAGACAAAACAACTGTGTATGATTTACTTTTTTAAGAAAAGCTTCATTAACAAATAATGTTACAGATTTGGTGGGGGTGGGCCCTGGAGTACAGTGTCTGCCTGTCTCCACCATGTGAATCTGTCCACTGGGGTGTCACTGGATGTGGAGTTGGGGAGCTCCTTGTTCCTCCACGTGGACGCAATCTTTGTGAATAATCTCAGAATCCAAATAGTAAATACAGTGAAAAGAGCAGGCAGTGATAAGTTTTAAGTACTGTGCCTCCTTTGCTTTCACTAGAACTTATTTTATGTCTTGAATTATTAGTACTGGGTCCCAAGCTCCCTGAAAGCATCACCCTGAGCTCTGATGGGCACTGCTTCCCTCTGCCAGCTTGGCAGGTGCAGGGCACAGCAGTCCTGCAGAGCAGAAGTCGCAGCATGTGTGCAGGCCACCATCCGGCCGCAGCACCTGCTCCAGGACGGTGTCCGCACCTCTAGAAGTGGCTGTGTAGTGTCCCGTTGGCCATGCTCAGAGACTTGCCTGTGCCCTGTCTTCTGCCTGGAATCTTTTCCTTCCGTTCATTCTCACGTGCTTCCAGTGCCCGAGTAGTAAATACATTCTCTTTCAAATTAAACCGTGTCAGCTGTGGCTCTGGCCCCTGCCCACTGTGTCTGATGCAGTGGCTGCTGTCCATCTGGGGAGGTCCCCGATGGGTGTGTGGAGTGGATTCTTCTACGCACACTGAGGTCAGCACAGCTAGGGTCCTGGGCCAGGGTGTTGCTTTTAAATGAATTCTGGCTGACAGGGCTGCTGTCTTACAGCTTGTGTATGTCCCTCGGCATATCCTTGCCCTCTGTGGCTGTTCCACAGGGGTCTCACTGTTACTTTAGCATCTCCTCGGGCTCCCTAGGGAGTATCCCTACTTACTCCTAGTGTGCCAGGCAGTTGACATGTGTGGTGGGTGTGGATAGTGACAGGCTCGCAGGGGAGACTTCTGTGAGTGCCCTTGCAGGCCTCGGAGCCTGTGCCCACAGGACATGCACTGCAGCCTTGCTGGGCCCAAGTGCCCCAGCGCCTCCCCATCGCCAGCCCTAACTAGAGCTGTGAATCCAGGTGTGGGACGGCTGTGGATATGGAGCTGGCCTTGCTCCCAGGGCTGGAGAGCGCCTGTCCCTGTGTCCCCACGGAGTGAGGCAGCCAGTGTTGGGCTTTGCTGTTCATCCTGGGGAACTGTGGTCAGGGCTGGGTCCATCACCCTGGCTTAACAGGTGGCCTAGAGTTCCCAGTTGAGGAACCTTCTGGGAGCTCAGGCCTGGAGGCCTCCGCAAGGGTTCTATCCCTGGCTTTCTGTTTCTATTTGTCTTATTGTGGTAAATACACGTCATATATAACTGAGGGAGAGGGAGGGGATGAGAAAAGAACGAAGATGTGTTATGTATGTGTACTGACTTCACGCGAGGGATACAATCTGTAAACAAGCACCAATAAAACAACAACAACAAAATACCTTTGATCTCCCACCCAAAAAAGTAACTCTCTTAAATGTTTTTATACTTGCACTTGAGTAATACTGAGCACGTTCATAATGTCGTGCCACTCTCCCCACCATCCGTCTCCAGAGCTCTGTCTGCTGGTCAGGCCCAGACTCTGCACCCATTAAATGCCTCCCTTAAGCCCTGCCCCGGGACTCACTGTCCTGCTTGCTGTCTGTAGACGTGACTTTGGCGGGGAGGCCTCATGCCATACCTGTCCCCTGTGACTGGCTTGCTCACTGAGCAGAATGTCCTGGAGCTTCATCCATGCTGTGGCACACGCCAGAGTGCCTTCCTGCTTAAGGCTGAATAGTATTCAGTGGTGTGAGTGGACCCTGTGGTGTTATTCTGCCACCTGCAGACTTGTGAGCTGCGTTCTCATTTCAGCTGTTAGGAATAAGGCCATTGTGACCAGGGATTTGCACATACCGGTGAAGTCTGCTTTCAGTTCTTGTGATAGGCGCCAGAAGGGGGTGCGGGTAAGGCTGCTGGGGCAGCTCCGGTGGTCTGGGCAGGGGAAGTGTGGCATGGGGACGCCAGCTGTGGTTCTGGGCACTCATGGCTGAGTGGAGAGGACAGTTGGGAACTGCTTCCAGCCCCAGATGTGTGCTGGGTTTGAGGAAGACTGCCTCTGAGCACTCGGGGTTGCTGTGAGGGAGGCTGGGGTCTCCCCTCTCTGATTGCCGATACTGCGTCTCAGGACGCTGCATGGCGGTCCATGGGCAGTCTGTGCACAGAACTTCATGGGGGGCGAACATATGCCCAGTGTCTCCCTGCTCCCTGCTGTCCTGCCAGCTGCCGTCCCTACCACCCAGTGCCCTCCCATTGTGCTCCCCGATGTTGGCAGGTGCCTGCTGTCTTTCCCCTGCCCCAGCCAGTAGGTCTCCACCAGGCAGCCAGAGCAAGCACAGACCTGCAGTCTGACCATGTCCTGCCTGGCCCACTGCCCTCTGCTGTGGCTGCCCCTAGCCCACACACCCTACCCATCCCACCTGGGCCTGGTCTCATCTCCCTGCCTGGCGTAAGGATGCCCACTGGCTCTTCGTGGTGTGTGAGAGACTGAGTGCCCTGAGCACCCCAGTGTGGCTGCACTGTGTGAAGTGCTTTCATCACATGTCTCCCTGCCTGAGGAGGCGACAGCTATGCTCGTCTGTGTGTTGATGGTTATGTAATAAGGAGCTGTGTGACTTTGGGGATGTAGGAAACCTCAAAAGTCGAGATCACCCCTAGAGCTCCTGCCATTTTCTTAATGACCAGTGCAGTGCCTGCAT